CCCCCCCCCCCCCTTTCTTCATTTTTTTTTTTCCAGTCCCCTCTCTCCTCCTCTGCATATACATATACACGCCCAGCATTGTCTGCTGTAACCCAATGCTGTGGGTCGGGTCCCGTGCCGCCATCTTACTTTGTTACATCATCAGTAACTGACTGTCTCTTGCAGCAGACCCCATGGTGATGCACCGCCGCACCTGCGCAGTGTACAGTAGGTGGTCAAGAAGCCTCCTGGGATGCATGACGTGAGTGTCCCAGGAGGCTGTCGGTGGCGCGGCTACGTCATTCTCACCTGGGGGAGAAATTAGGACGTATGAGGCTTAGTTAAAAAAAAGAATATAAATATATATACATGATTTTGGAAGAGGAGATGAGGTGGAGTAATATTTTGCTTGCGTGGGTTTCCTCCGGGTATTCCGGTTTCCTCCCACACTCCAAAAACATGCTGGAAGTTTAATTGGCCCCTATCTAAATTTGCCCTCGTATGCAGGGGCGTGCCGAGACCGGGTGTCACCCGGAGCGGAGACCAGGAGACACCCCGGCGCGTCGTCATCGCGCATGCGCTTGACGTCACTTCGCACATGTGCTGCGATCTTCTTGATACCTGCCCGCGGCCATCTTGGTGATGGACGCCGGCAGAGAGAGGAGGGGACGTTCACCCGGCGGGATGAGGTATGCCGCCAGGTCTCCTCCACTCTCCTGACACTGTGGGGCTCTCGGTCCATGACCGAGTGCCCGACTTTTTAGAGGGGGGTGACACCAAAATGTCTGTCAGTCATTTTGGTGTCACCCTTGCAAATGGTGTCATCCGGGTGCGGGGCGCACCCCCCTTGTGACGGCACTGCTCGTATGTATGCCTGTGAGGTAGGGACCTTAGATTGTAAGCTCCTCGAGGGCGGGGACTGATGTGAATGTGCAACTATGTAAAGCGCTGTGTAAAATTGTTTCCGCTATATAATATAGTAATAAATAAATAATATACGACATTTATTCATCAGTAAAGCATGTGATCATTATTTTTATTTATTATTTATCGCTGCGTGTTGTCACGCCCCAGACAAAGCAAGCGACTTGCGAAGGTGAATCCTTCCTCATGATGCTTCTCACACAGGTTGTTTTGTGTAAACAACCCAATGCTGTTTTGTTTACTCTCAATAAAGTTTTGCTCTTCTATAGAGAGGGGAAAAAAAGGAAACAGCCCCTGCGTCGCCCACAATGAGGCCGTGAGATGCACGCGCGCGCGCAATTGCGTCACCTGCCCTTCCCTCCTCTTTCTCCCCCTCCAGGAGACGCCCCGCTGTTCCCTTGGCAGCTCGCGCGTGCGCGCAAGTTCC